ATGGTGAAAGAATTGCGACGTATCGCACCATAGGATGAGTAAGAGATGAGTAAGGCATAGACCTGTCTAGACCGTTCTGGAGTAGTACGGATTGTCCTAGACAGTACCAGAAGAGTCCGGAAGCATAGCTATAGTACACGAGCAGAGAGTCCCAAATATGGTAACATACTACATAAGCGACTACAGCTAAGCGCTAGGAGACGCATAGCCTCGTGTAGTCCGGACCGGATAAGTCCAAGTTCAACAACGAGGGACCCAGCAAGAGATCCCAATAGGCACTGTCGAACTGTCGGAGAGCGTATATGTGCAGACCGTGCACGAAGATGAGTTCGTTACTGATGCGGCTGTTGCAATTGGTGGCGGCGGTGGCGTCCGTTGGTGGTGGATTGCGACTGTCGTTACTGCCGGACCCCTCAAGATGGCAAGATATGATCTTTGCCTTGACATTGTTGATCGTGTCTGAAGACTGGCGCACAAGCTCATGAGCCTACGGGGCGACGTCTCCTGGTTCCATGTTCCAAGTCTCCTCTCCTGAGCTTGACGACAATCTGGCTTCCTCTGGACTTAGGAACCATGACGCGTCTACTCTACTGGCTTTCTCTCAGTCCCCTGAACTGTCAGACAACGTCACTCCCTCTCTGCTGGAGCCTCTGGCCCTCTGGGACCTCACCGGGGATACTAACTGGTCGACACTGGTCTCTGCTTCTGAGGAACTGCCGCCTCCCAGATGTCTCAGCTACGTCTACTGCATCCTGTCAAATGTCTTCAAGCTCTCCCCCATCTTGGGCGCTGAATCACCACTTACTGATGAGCTTGCGATCATCAACATGCACCTTGGATCATTGACCATGTGACACTCTCCGCAAGCCTGCAAGCCCTCACTTGTCCCGGCATGTGGGCGACTTGGGTTGAAGTTCAACATGTATATTGGGCTCAACGCGGTTAGGGTTTCTCTCTGCACGTCGATTTCAAGGAGATGCATATGGAGATTCCTCACAAGGAACCCCGCGGCCAGCAGGGAGGGCCCTCTACAAGCCGCGCGCTAGCTTTCAACCGCACGCTAGCTTTCAACCGCAACAGGCCACGCATCCCTCTAGATCTGTTTCGTAAGTCTATATAGCGAACATATGTATTGCCTGCAATTGTACGCCCAAGCGATTACTGCGCGGTGGATGTGCGGTCCCGCATGAGCTCGCGAATGGGTCGGGGAGCACGCGCTCACAAATTGATTAAAGTTTGCTAAGTGACGTCAGATAAGCCGTGCTACGTAGTATCCATCGCGCATTCTCCACACTCGGGAATGTGCAGAGAATGTGCAGGCAACGTCTGGACAATCTATGGAGTCTTCGTGGAAAAGACGCACATTCTCCTCTGTTGGAGAATGTGGCGGCAATGTGGGGAGAACGTGGCGGCAATGTGCTCATTCTCCGCTTGTTCTCCTCCCGCCAAAATCTGGCACTTCACGCTGTGACCCCTGGTGGGGCTGGTGGTGGCTAGGCTGTCAAGCGCTGTCTTCCGTGGTCGCCAATGTTCCCCACTGGGGCCCTTGCAAATCGAACATCCCACTGGTTTTGAACCGCCCGCAGAAAGGCTCTAGATCTAATCCGTAATGTTCAGATTCTAGGACACTATTTGGGAGGTTTCCCGGCCGTCGCATGAGCACACGAAGCGGGTGACGACATTCCTGCTCGGGTGCCACGAGATCGGCCAAACTGACCAAAATTCAGACGGCTTCGTATCCTCCCGAAATGAATGTTAACTGTCATCCGGTGGTGCACATTTCATTTCGTGAATAGTATCTTCTCAATCAGAGGTCAATTGCGAAACACAATCGCGTTTTCGGTGGGATTTGGTGCATTTCCACAAAAGTCACCCCCTCACGATGCAGACGCAGCGTTGCACAGATGCCCGCTGGCCATCCTTGGTACCCTTTGCACCACATAACCATCCACAACTTGTTTCGAGGCCGTTGGATGAGAAACGCGGCCGGTACACCCATCTCGTGCTCGAGGTACCGGCCCAGCGCCCATCGACCCGACCAAAATACTAATATTCAAAACTCCTCTCCCGGCTGGGGAAACCGTTCGCATACGTGGACCGTGTGTGCTGCATGCCATCGGCGCAGTTTCGCCACCTCCGCATGCGCACACAGCGCAGGAGAGAGCGCGCACTTTCGGACACCACGAAAATGGCCAAAACTGTGCGATTTGAAAACCGGTCGGAGCGCGGTAGAATCAGGTTTGTTCAGTGCAGAATGGGCCACGCAATGCGTTGCAGACGATTTCCCGCCGCTGCAAGCGGGCGGGAGGGAGAAAATGCATTTTCAGTGTGACAGTCCACCTTGCTGCTTGACCGCAAGGTTTGTCCGGTCCTCCTGGCGTCACCTGCACGGCGCCCTGTAGCCGTCGTCTCTTGTCCAATTCTTTCGCCGCCAACATGGTCTCTACACCACTTTGTTGCAAAATCCTGGAAGCGTCAAGTTGTAGCGAGCGTGCATGATGGACGCCCATGTTCGCACAAGGCTTCCGTGCATGCGTCGCAACACGTTTATTCATTTCTTCATTCCGAAGCGACCGGTACATGTGCGTAACTAAAGCTACGATGTTCAGTGTCCCTGCACCGACTGGTGCAGCCGGCACACACAACCCCGGACATCCGTTCTCGCAGCCATCCCCGACGGTGTATGCGCAGAGGGAGAGGTCGCAGGTCAGTATTGTCTCGGCAGCCGTGCTCGTGCAGCACAGTTGCCGAGGTGATACTGGCCCTGCCACTGTGCGAACGACATCAAACACTCATCTAATTGCCTGCGGTTGCATCGGCACAACACAGTGACCCGCCGGCGGACTTTGCGAACGGTGTCCAATCCGCGTCCGAGACCGACGGGCGGATGCCGCTGTACGTACAGCGGCAAATGTCCCGGGCCATATGTTGTCGTGTTGCCTAGCTCGGCTGGAGGGACCAGCTGTGAGATCGGCCATTGTGGACATTGGAGGAGACGTCGACCGAGGCCGCAAGCAGCGATGATCGAGTTGTCCGCGCGGTCGTGGCCACACGCAAGGTCCACCAGGGCGCGTCCGTCGATTGCATGGCAGCAGGACACGGCCGCCGATGTGTCTGATGCAGCGGCGGGGATGCGCTGTGTGCTCTGTGCCTGTGTTCGGCTCGCGCGTGTTGCGCTCTGCCGCAAGGCTCTGTTACGTCGCGTTGCCGTGCGATCACGGCGGAAGATTGGCCGTACATCGCTCTGTACGTGTACGTACGGAGGACAGGGTCGAAAGAGGGTGGGAGGGCGCAAGTGCAGGTTCGCGCTCGGGATGCCCGGACGGCGGGAGATGGAGAGATGCGGAGGTGATGGTGTGGGATGGGGGATGGGTTGCAAGGGAGGACAGGGAGCGGCCGGGTGGAAGGAGCGCTGGGACGGGTATAAAGGGTGAAGGAAAATGTCGCGGACTACAGTACTTGCCTCTTTTTCGCTGGTCAGTAGAGGATTGTGCGCGCTCACAATGAACGGCCTCGGTATTTTGGCCCTGGGGTGGCGGGCATGCTCGGTGAGTGCTGGTGACGGTTGACAAGTGGGCGGGCTGAACGCTGACTATGGCACGGTAGGCACGGTAGACGGGGGTCGTTGGGCGTGGGGCTGTGAGCGTGTACGGTAGATGGTGGGGTCGTGAGTGAGTAGAGGGGAAATGTGCGTACTAGATGTGAAGTGCTGGTATTGGGCTTACGCCGCGGCTGTTGTTGACGAGCGGGAGCGTGTTGTGATGCGGTCCAGGCTGTGGGGTTGCGGGCGGTCGGATGTTGTCCGGGAGGTCGGATGTTGTCCGGGAGGTCGAGATATGTGAGAGGGAGGTAGGCGAAGGTAGTGTGAGGAACGCGGCGGCGGGATGTTGAGCGTCGGATTACAGGCGTTGCGCGTTGTGTCGGGACGAGAGACTGTGCGGCGTAGGGTGGGTAGCGTTGTGGGTGTGATGTAATGATGTAATGAAGCAAGCACACGTACCGAGAGGGATGAAGCGGTGCGGCCCATGGCATCGCAACTTGAGTTCGGATTCCGGTGACGAGCTCGGTGCGCAGCAATCAAGTTTGCCATCCGTGTTCTAGGGAAAAGGGGGCTAACGTCATCTACGGCGTTGCGCGTTGCATGGGATGGGGGAGCATAACACAGGACGTGCAGACAGACCAGCGTACCGGCCGCTAGACTCACCTGGGGGATGGACGTTGCCAGGTATCGAATCGGGTCTGGTGAGACGGGACACGGAAGAGAGCGAGGCAGCCAATTGACGCGTTTTGGAGGGGCCAATGGGAGCTCTTGGATGTGCACGATGATTGGGTGAGGACAGCCACAGAATTCCGGACAGTGCATCGCGATCCAGGCGTCGTTTTCGCGTTGTCGCAGGAGACGCATTGCTGACATACAGCCGGTTTCAGCTCGCTTGTCGTGAGAGCGCCGCGCCGCGCAGGCTCCGTCCCACCCGCTGCTTCGAGTTGAAGGGAATACCAGGGAGGGAAGGGACAGGTTGTAGTCAGAGAGCGGTCGCAATGTTTCGGTCCGGATAGCTAATCACGTGTTGTCTTTTCTGAACCTTATTTCCCTTCCACTCTCAGCAGCGGCTGGCACCAAACATTGGTAAACAACCGGAGCCCGGAGTGCAAGCGCCAGAAATCATCCCTGTTCGGAAGCTCTCCATCCGACCACATCAATTGATTTTTTGAATATATATTTATTACTCGAGCTCGCTTGTGCACTGACATACTCAACGCCTCGCCTGCCTGCCAGCGCTCGCACAACTTCGAGCTCTACATGGACGCGCAACGTGCTGCACAGGTATACCCCGCCCTCCTATACCTGCAATCTATCGGGGTTACCATACCTGAGCTTGTTTCATCTGTACTTGTTTTCAATTACTGCAATGATCTCTCCAATCCTTGGTATCAGGCCCTCATCAGCAACACCCCCACTGTTCTCTCAGCTTTTCTCCACCACCCGCATACCTCAGACACGTCCAGGCGATGGAGCCATCAACTGATGTCAAATCGCTATTCGGATGCGGTCCAGCGCCTCACGAGCGCGCAGCGTGGGTGGCACTTCAGCGCAGCCAGGACGCGCCCGGAACAGATGCAAGATTTTCGGATGGAAGACATGGCCGAGGAGATTGCGCGCACCGAACCGGAGCTTTGGACGTTGGTGAGAAGCCTTCTCAGCAGCTCGCCCGTGCCCGATGTCGATTTTGCCATGGCGATGGACGCGGATGGTGTCACAGTTTTCTCGTGCCACGTGACCTGGGGGTCATGTGTACTGGGACAGACGCTCACCTTGACCGTGGACAACTCGTATCGGAAAGTGGAGGGGCCAGGATCGAACCCCAGACCTCGTGACGGCCAGGAGCGCCCATCCTCACTCACAGGCAGGTGACTGATGTGACAGCTGGAGCGCTTACTCATTGGGAGGGGTCCGGACTCGGCACAACTCAGGTATTAGTCATAAGGTCACCATGAGGCAGGTCAGAGGGTAGGACATGAGGCAGAGAACCCTGACCAAACGATGGTCAATAAGTACCTGGTCTGTGCACCATTGTATTAGTATATATAGTAGGGAGTCTGAGGCAGGGAACCTCAGACTTGATCTTCTCGTCGATTCCCCATCTCCTCTGTAGGTAGCTAGCAGCCCTACCTCCCTCACCACCCCTTCTAGTCTAGGGAATACATCTCTTCACATCTCTTGCTGTGTCATCTCTGGTTGCTTCGCTTCTCAGCACCAACCTTTGCATCAGTAAGCTTTGCCCTTGTTTGTTTTGGTGGCACAGCTCGTTGGCTGTGACATTAGATCAAGTCTCTTACCCATCCCCTCCGTGGAGTGTCTCAACCACTTGCGGACCGGATCTCT